TAGATAAAGTACCACCTTCGTACTGCGAACCAAAAGCTAAGATACTTTATTCATTTTTCTTTCTTCCTAAAGTGAAACAGTTCATTTCAAGCCTTGGCAGGAGCTCAGACTATTTTATACCGGCTCTTAATACCGCATTTTTGGTTTGGTGGCGGGTTGTTTGTAATAATGTTAAATGAAAGAATCCAGACTATATGATTCCATTTATATGAAAAACAAGAGTGGGCAAAGTTCATCTAGGGTGTTAAAGTTAGGATGGTGGTCCTCATCCTTGGAGAGAGGCTGGGCTGTGGCTTTTGGGATGCTTGTATGTTCAATTTCCTGATCCATGTGTTGGTACCTGGGTGTGTTGTCTTTGTGGAGATTCATTCACTGGTAATGTTTGTAAAGGAAGGAGGTCAAGTCATTTTCCAAAGTTCTAAGTAAATAATGTTCTAATAAGGCCAAAGTAAGAAGATTAAAGACTGATAGTTAGGTTATCATAAGAGCAAGACATTATATAAATAAGACCCGTTTTCCCCTAAGGCAACTGTTCTCAAATTTCTTTTTTTTTTTTATGCTGTGTTATGTTAATCACCACACATTACATCATTAGTTTTTGATGTAGTGTTCCATGATTCAGTGTTTGCGTATAACACCCAGTGCTCCATATGGAACGTGCCCTCTTTAATACCCATCACCGGGCTTACCCATCCTCCCACCCCACTCCCCTCTAGAACCCTCAGTTTGTTTCTCAGGGTCCACAGTCTCTCATGGTTTGTCTCCCCCTCCAACTTCCCCCTCTTCATTTCCTGGAGACCATGTTAAAACACAGACTTCCAGCCCCACCCCAGGGTCTCCAGTTCAAGAGGTGAGGGAAGAGTGAGAATTTGTCTTTCAAACAAGTTCCCATTTTAATTATTTGAAAATTAATGCTCACGAATTTATTCCCAAGTGTAATGATCATTTCCTCTATTATTCACTGCTTATCAAAACAGCCCATTCATTAAATAGATCCACACAAAATGTTTTAAGACGTGAGCAAAGTCAGGTTGAAAGGAATGATTCTCACAACTTTAGAGAAAATAACAGAATAGAACCGCCTCGCAGAACTATCAGTGATTATTATTGAACACTTGAAGGTAAGTAAAAAGCCACATTTGCATCATTTCTGAATTGGATCATCCATTGTTCAACAAAAACACATCATTTTTCTTAGGCAGGTTTAGATTCTGAACTTTCTCCCCTATAGGCTTTTTCAGAAACAAATAACTAGAAAAGTCTCTAAGGAGGGGAGAGGCCAGTTCCCCATTTCAACTGGCCTCAAGTTCGCCTGCCCTTGGCCAGGAGAGTACACTGTTACAGGTGTGGAACCTGTTCTTCCAAACCTTCGCCTGGCAGCTTGCCCTGGATCTGCTGACTCCCTCGTCAGGACCCACCTGGATGATGCAGACCATCCCACAGGTATTAAAGGCAACATTCTGGGGCTGCCTGGGTTTCCCCCTCACACTTTCCGTTTGCTTAGATCCTGTTGCTACCCGCTTCTCTCGGTTCTATCTTGCCCGTTTCCCCAGGTCTGAGAAGAATGGGTGAAACATTAATCTCTGTGGTTTTAATTTCAAGGACACGGAGATTGCCTCCCCAACAGTGTGGGTGGCATTTGCTTGGGAGGTCAAAGGCTGGTAAATCTTTCTAATGGTCATTTACTGAGTTTGTCTTTTAGAGAACATATAGGAGAAGAGTTCGCCTTACCTTTTCGGTTAACTTTTGACTCCTTTATGAGATCCGTGGGGGTAATCATTTAGGGAGGGCCTCCCCAGAACCTGGGTGTTATCCATTTAATGGCTGCCATGACCCATGGCGGGGGAGGGAGGCGCTCCAATGCCCTTCCATAAATGCGGCCTAGAGACTGCCAGAGGGGAGAGGCTTGCCCTGGTCACAGGCTAGCTGGTGGTGAGGTGGGGACAGCCAGCAGGTGGGTGACTCCAGAGGCTGGGCTCTCCCCTCTCTGCAAACTGCTGCCCAGAGACCTGCTGTATGTAAGGTTTCTCTGGTTCTGCAGTGAGTCAGGCCAGCAGTTACTACTGCTTTAGCTCCAGTATTCGAGACATAGGCCAATCAATAATATTGAATGACCCTTAAGTCCTATCGGACATAATGACTTCCTACTGGCCACCGTGGCTGGAAAGGATATCCAAAGCAGTGTCCTAACCCCTCAAGGAGGAGGAAGAAGTGACAAGAACCAAGGGGAAACCCGCGTACTAAGCATTCTGATAGAAGTCTCCTGCAAGTACCTATGGAATCAGACTAAATTCCTTTTAATGGTGTTGCTGCCTAGAACTTGGACTTGGCTATCAATGAGAAAATAATTACATTTCTTGGGCATGTATGTGCGTGAAGGCACCTGTCACTCCAGTCCTCAACTCGGCCCTTTGTCTCTTGGGAGAAGGAGGAAGTGGCCCCTCTAGTTTGGGCCCTGAAAAGAGACCTTATATCTCTGTTTTCATCAAAGGCTGGAATGGGCCTCTTCATTCTCCTCCAGCAAAGCTGGTGTCAGCCTTTCGATCAGTAGCCAGAAATTATCAGTCTCGAAGCAAAATCAGTTCAGCCCCACCTTGACTAAAATGTGAGTTTCTTAGCTCTTCCCTCACCCCCAAAATAAGGGTGCATCATGCATTTTTGTTCTACATGTGAAGTTTTGTAACACTTGAGACCTCAGCTCAAAATATTAAAGCAACCCAGTATTAAGAATTGTAGATTTCTTTTGTAAGTAAGAGTTGAATTGACTTTAATTCATATCTAAGTAGCTCCTTGAACAACTCTCCAGTCTAAAATCTAGTTTCTGTTCATTTCATTTGGCCTTAAACCAGATGAGAACCAAGGAGTAAATATAAGAGAACGCGGAATCCCCAAAATCAATGTCACTGTATTGTCATGACAATGTCATAACGTTGCACTCCTATTGATGAGAGTAAACCTAAGAGCCTATGAATCCTCTTTCCATAGGGTTGTTGGACTTCCGTGCCTGAAACAGCCTAGAAGAAACAAAGGGGAGAGTGGCTCCCATAGGCAAGTACCCAAACTGAAATGAGAAATAATGAATAAGAATTCAGGAATACATCAGTGGGAGGCCATTTAGTATGGGGTAAATAATCACAGGCTATAAAAATCTGTAACAATGATTGTATTCTTCATAAAACTGCAGTAAACACAGTAACAGGCACTGCATGTCAACTCGTCCTACGAGTGATAGTCAACGTGAGGAGGCCAGGTCATCAAGAAAAGATTTACCGCTGTGTAGTATTCTCCATTATCAAGTTGAGGAAGTCAAGAATGCACTGTAGAAATAGGTCTACTGAAGTGTTATCAGCGCAATTAAATTCATATAGCACTAAAAGAAAAATTATTAGCTATCCTTAAGATGTGGCTATCCGAATGTGTTCATTCCCAAGGCATTTCAGATTGCTGAGTTTTTGCTTTAGAATTACAGACTTGCTAAAATTATTACTGGAGATCTCAGAATATGCAGTCAGCTGCTGATGTTTCATCTGTAAACAAGCCAAACGCAGTCTGAAACCACTTTCCGCATTGCCCATGGCAAGGGAAGATGGTTATTCTTTCTGATCCACAGCCCCACACCAGGTCTGTAAATAATTAAGAGTTCACTTTCATGCAGTAGTTGGCAGGATGGGTAAGGATCAATGCTTTTCTACACAAAACTACTTTCTTCATATGGGGAACTACAAAATAATGGAGTTATAATAAGTCATTTCTGTGTTGCCATGGATCAAGTTGTCAAATGGTAGAATCAGCACACCTTGAGCATGAGAGGAGATTAATTGAGAGGTGATGCTGCATTAGTGAATCCTAGAAGCCACTTCTAATTATGAGAGTATGGCATTTGGGTGACATCTGGGTTTTTCTTTTCAAATTTGCAAGTTATTTGTTCCAAAACACAAGGATGGATAAAATCTAGAATGTCTTTTGCAAAGTACTTTACAGCAATATCTTTGAAACCATTGACTCATTCTGTAATTGAAACCTTGAGGGAAGGGGCTTTGTTCTTCTTGTTCTTATGTCCTTATTTCCCTGGAATACACCAAAGCGCTATAATAAATAAATAAATGCATACATACGTAATGTAAGAAAATGTTAATGTATATTTAATTGTCTTAAGGAATAATCAGGGCACCTGGGTGGCTCAGGTCGTGAACCCAGGGTCCTGGGATTGAGTCCTGCATTGGGCTCCCTACTCCATGGGGAGCCTGCTTCTTCCCTCTGCCTCTGTCCCCCTCTTTCTCTGTCTCTCATGAATAAGTAAATAAAATCTTTTTTTAAAAAAGGAAAAATCAAAAGGTGATAAGCTTTGTGGCTTCCAAAAAGTCTCATAGGTAACTAAGGGGTTTTTTTTTGCTTTTCTTGTTTTTTGTTTTTTAATAAAGAGGGAGCAGGGGGAAGGGCAGAGAGAGAGGGAGGAGAGAATCCCAAGTAGACTCACCTCTGAGCACGGAGCCCAACTTGGGGCTCAATCCCATGACCCCGTGATCATGACCGGAGCTGAAACCAAGAGTTGGACCCTTAACTGACTAAGCCGCCCAGGCGCCCCATCACTAAGGTTTTTAAAACATTGTTTGTTTCAACCTGGAAGGCATAATAAGTAAACAGTAAACAAATCTCAACATATAAACTATTCAGATGGGAAGGCTGAAATCCCTTATGTTAATTACCTGCAAAACATAAAGGACGCTAATGATAAGTGGTCTCTACCCATCTCCCGTGACAAATTAGAGGTTTTCATGTGAAATTTCAAATGCCTTTTTTCTCACATCAGTCTCCCTCATTTGCAGCAGACTGCACACTCTGCTCTTCCTCACTAAAATCCAACAACCTGCATGTAACTATCCCCTGGGAAAGGACAAAGGCATACCAAGGAAAAGCAGCACTTGAATTCAGAAACTGAACAACCCCAGTATGGTCCAGAGAACAGCAAGTCCAACAATGTCCCCTGGAAGCTTCCAGCAATGGGGTCTCTTAGCTGCATAGGAAAGGTGGAGCCGTCCTGCCCAGAGGTGCAGACCCAAGGCTGTGGGGCCTCTTCTCAGCTCCCCCTGAGGAGTCTGTCGAAGAAGCACAGTGAGAACCAGGGGAAAATTCTCTACTTTGACCGGCAAGCCCCAGGCCGCATCTCTACCTCTCCCACTTTGAGGAGATTAAGGGGCAATGGCCGCGGGACTTCACACTCGCTGTCTCAGCAAGAGACCTTGGAAATGCCCACTGGGAAGGAGCCTGCAGGCTCTCCATGTTACCTCTCTAAGAGTCTACCTGGAAGCCCAAAGAATTCTTCACACTCCCAATTGCCCTTGAGACTCCAAGCAAGATTGCCTCCAGACCCCAAAAGGGCCCTCAACACAACTGACTCATTTGAACCGCATCCTGCACTTCAGCCCATCAGTGAGGGGTCTCTTCTTCAGGCCTCTCTCCCAGAAAAAGGAGGCCACTCACCGCCCAACCCTGCCACATGGCCCCCTGGTCCTCACATAACACAGCTCTGAGCTTCCTGTGCTCATTCAGTGCCCTGCAAAGCAAAATAGGTCTCTGGGTTGCCATAATACCCCAAAGGCCAGGGCGTCCTATGATGGGACACAGCACAGGACGTCACTGCTGAGGGGACACATACTTTTCAGGACATGTTGGCTCCCAAGTAAAAGGGTACAGTAGTCTGGGAAGTCTAACTCACTTTCTTCTCCTAGAGAAGGTCAGGTTAGCGACGGTCTCTCAGGCTTTGGAGAGCAAAGATGGCCTTTTTGCAAATCCATGCCGTTCGAAGACAACCTGGTACGGCTATTTTAAAAGCGGAAAAAGAACAAAGTGTTCAAATTTCTAATCCTCTCCCCCATCTCCCCACTAAAAAGAAAATATCCAAATCATTTCAGCTAAGAAACTGAATTGCCTCTCCTTTCCAAATGTCTGCTTGGGAATTTTGGGTGGATTTGAGCAAAACTAAAAGGTCTATTTTTAGAATTGATTTCCGGGAGAAGCGTTGCATCCATCCAGGTGTGTATGTCTTTATTTGCTTTGGCGCCATGAAAATGGTTCATTATTTACTTTTCCATCCCTGTTTCTGTTCTGACAGCGCAAGCCTGACGGCATGTTAATCAGGGCACTTTGTTTTACAGCCCCCGAGTCACTTAACATTTCTGGGTGAGAGAGTCTTAATTTCAAAAGTCTCCTTGAAGAGCACAGCATTTTGCTGCAGCTTTCTGGGGGCGAAGTATGACAGCCACAAGCGGTCATGGTTTTCATTTTGAATTGCCAATGACTTGGCCCCGTGGCTTCATTAACATCCACTTAGTAATTGGTTTTGTCGGGTCGAGAAAATATAAAGGCCAGATCATTCAACAGATTTTCAAAGAGAACTTCAGAGGACAGGGATAAAAAAGAGCAAAATGTGCTGTTTCAATCTAGGACGACCTTTAAAAGGCCTCCTCTGACAGACAGCGCCTTTACTTAGGAAGCAGGTAGATGGTGTCACTTCTGAAACCAGCCCTGAATTTTCAGCATGGTTCTCAGCTTATGGCCCCGGATTTGCCATCCCTCCCAGGGATGAAAAGCCTCTGTGGCAGCAAGGAAAGGATCCATGCTCGATTTCATCCACCCCATTGGCAGGATTGGCAGGAAGGCCCTAGTTTCATTTGGAAAGTCACAGAGAAATTCTCAGGAATTCACCACTGCTTTATTACGGGACCTCAATCCTCAAGCACAAGTTTGCTGTTCAGAGGAGGAAGAATGAGATCCATCGATGCAGTCTTTGTTGATTTTAACCCTAGTCGACCTAAAGGCATAAACAAAGGCTGAGGATATTAACAAAGCCACAGGAAAATGCAAATTACTTTGTTAGTGTATCAATGAGCTCTTGCTCATTGAGGTTTGGGGACAAACCACCCCAAACCTCAGTGGCTTAACACAACAACCCCTCTTGTTTCATATATACGTCCAAGTGTCTACTGGGTATGAGTTGATGGAGGCTGGTCTCAGCTGGGTAGTTGCACTCCAAGGGTTCCTCATCCTTTTCCTGGAGACAGAGGGCTACTGTATGTCTGCTAACTCCATCTTACAATCAGAGCTGGACACAGACTTTACCTGCTCTAGGAAGCGTTGCTTTATTAAAAACTGGGCCTGTTCTTATTGTGGTGAAGGGAGAGGTTCAAGAGGACACGGAAGCGTGCAAGACCCCTTGCAGCCTGGGGTCAGTATCTGGCCTAATTCTATTGGCCAGAGCAGGTCACATGACTGAACCCAGGGGCAGGAAATTCTGCACCACCAACAGTGAGAGCACGGAGGTGTTACTGGCAAAGGGTGTGGATACAAAAGTTGATGGAGAATAGAATCACGAATACAAATCTTCTACACGTGCAGACCAGAATAAAGCTCTAAAAGGATACCTAATTCAGATGTGTCAGAGAAAGGGAAAAAGAGAGTAGCCTCAGAGATAGATGGTGATGTTGGTTAGAGTAGATCTCTAACAGGGTGTTCAGGGATTTCGTTCCTTATCCTAAGAGCAGTTTGAAACCACTCAATGGATCGATATGATAGGATCAAATGGATACAGGGTGGACATAATATTTAAGTGAGAGCAGACTCCAGCAGAACAATTAGAATGTCCTGATATGAGAAGTTAGTGGTTAGGCTGTGATAAACACACTGGAGTTAGAAAAAAATATCTCATTTGCGGAGGTATTTAGGAGATAGAATCACCTGGACTTTGTGAATAACAGACCGTTGGAGGTGAGGGGAAGGAAGTTGTCAAATATGACCTCCAAGCTTCTGGCCCACATTACTAGGTGGCAAATAGTTCCATTCACTGATCTAGGTAACCTTGTGTGGGAGGGTGAGGGAGGGGAAGGAGGGTTGGTGGGGGAGAGGTCTTGACTTCAATTTTGGGCATATTAAATTTGAGGACCCATGGATCATCGGAGTGGAGATTTTGAGCACGTAGTTGATTCAAGAAGCCATCAGGGATGGAGATAGGTATCTGAGAGTTTTTAATAAAGCAACGCTTCCTACAGCAGGTAAAGTCTGTGTTCAGCTCTGATTATAAGATGGAGTTAGCAGACATACAGTTTAAGTGATGGGATGCATCAAGCCATTTGCAAAAGATGGCAAGCAGGTAATTGTTACTGCCAGGCAGGATCTTTGTAAGACAATAACAAAACTAGTCTTGGTAAATTCAAAGGAACAACTTGGTCCAAGGGCTTGAGGCTTTAAAAAATTCTGTGGCATTCAATATATCATAATCACATATTACCAAATAGTGGAAAGTTACCGAAAATCACAACAGGGAATTAGACAGGAGGTACTTTGGACATCTTCGTGTCCAGTGATGACCCTGATTTATTCAATATTGTTGCTCCAGGACTTAGGGCAATACTTGGCATGTAATAAGCAATGTTTGTGAATGAATAAATGAAGGTCTAAGTAACGATAATCTATGAATGAATATGTTAAGTAAACATTTATATATTATCACTAAAAAGAAGCAGGTTTTCATCAGTCACAGACCACTCATTCTATACTTTTTTAAGCATGAATCTTTGGTAACCAGCTAAGTTTCTGCCGCACAAAGATCCTGTCTGCCTGCTTTTTTTTTCTTTTTTTTTCTAGTTTCAGAGAGAGTGATTCATCAGTTGCATACAACACTCAGTGCTCATTACACCATGTGCCCTCCTTAATGCCCATTCCCCAATTATCCCTTCCCCCACCTACCTCCCCTCCAGCAACCCTCAGTTTGTGTCCTAGAGTTCAGCATCTCTTATGGTTTGCCTCCCTCTCTGTTTTCATCTTATTTTATTTTTCCTTCCCTTCCACTATGTTAACCTGTTTTGTTTCTTAAATTCCACACGAGTGAAATCATATGGTATTTGTCTTTCTCTGACTGACTTATTTTGCTTAGCATAATACCCTCTAGTTCCATCCTTTTAGTTGCAAATGGCAAGATTTCATCCTTTTGATGGCTGAGTAATATTCCATTGTGTGTATGTATGTGTGTGTGTATATATATGTATATGTATATGTATATATATACACACACACACCACATCTTCTTTACCCATTCATCTGTCGATGGACATCTAAGCTCTTTCCACAGTTTGGCTTTTGGGGACATTGCTGCTATAAATATTGGGGAGCAGATGTCCCTTCGGATCAGTCTATTTGTACCCTTTGGGTAAATACCCAATAGTGCAATTGCTGGGTCATAGGGTAGCTCTATTTTTAACTTCTTGAAGAGCCTCCATACTGTTTTCCAGAGTGGCTGTACCAGCCTGCATTCCCACCAACAGTGTAGGAGGGCTCCCCTTTCTCTACCTCCTCACCAACATCTATCGTTTCCTGACTCGTTAATTTTAGCCATTCTGACCTGTGTGAGGTGGTATCTCATTGTGGTTTTGATTTGTATTTCCCTGGTGCTGAGTGGAGCATTTTTTCATGTGTCTGTTGGCCATTTGGATGTCTTCTTGGGAGAAATGTCTGTTCATGTTTTCTGCCCATTTCTTGACTGGATTTTTTGTTTTTTGGGGTGTTGAGTATATAAGTTCTTCATAGATTTTTGATACTAGCCCTTTACCTGATAAGACATTTACAATTATCTTCTCCCATTCCATAGGTTGCCTTTAGTTTTGCTGACTGCCTGACTTCTGCGCCCTCCCTCTTTTCCTCCTCACACACTGCAGACTTTTCAGCAGCTGTTTGCTCCAAGAAGAATGATTTGACATATGTGTCCATTGCAAAACCATCACTGCAATAAGGTTAGTTAATGTCCATCACCTCACATAGCTACAACTTTTTTCCCTTGTGATAGGATAGACAGCACGCTGCAAGAAGAGGATACTGTGGTCTCAGGGAGACTGAGCTGGGCATGGCTGGAAGGTGGAGATGGCCTGGCAGCTACTTTTCACAGCAGGAACCGTGTGTGATTCTTCCGCTGGCTTCTGAACCTCTAGAATGGAAGCTCCACGGAAGCAGGGCTCATGTCTGTTCCGTTCATTCCTCTATCCTTAGTGCCTAGAACACAGCCTGGCGCATGGTAGACGTTCAATACAAGTTGAAGGAAAAAAAAAAGAAGTCAATTGGTTAGTTCGTGAGGTTAGGACAAGCCTGGTAGGGGAAAGTGTTTGATCGCCTTTTCGTTTTGTATATTCTCCTCCAGCTACTTATGTGTCTTCCTCTGGCTCCTTTGAACCTTCCCTGTCCTCCCAATCTGATTTGTGTTTATCTCTTCAATGTACCTTGGGTTGCTGAGGATTCGCACAAATATTGCCTGATCCCCCGGGCAGCATTTTGGCTCTCATCCGGCAAAGACAGTCGCCTAAAAAGATGGGGAGAGTAGGCATTGACCAGTACCAGCAGCTGTCCTGGGGTCCAGAACACATGTGTATTGGGTGACTGTTACTGATCAAGCCCTAGATGTCACAGCATCTGGTGTTCCCCACAGTGATGAGACTCCATAAACTGTCTCTGTTCTGTGTTGAAACTGACTGGTCCAGAATGAGTCTGC